ACAAAACCGATTAACTCGCTTGCATAAATCGCAACCTGCAATTTAGGCGGATGTTGGTCAATTTTCTTCAAACCGAAGCTTTGTGTGTCGTGTCAGGCTTGACCCGCACCGGACGAAAATCGGCCCGTTATCAACTTATTTGGTTATGATTTTTTTCCCTCCTTAAATTTTATTTATAACTCATAAAATATAAAATTATGCTTTTTTTTTTTAATTATAAGATATATAAAGTACATAATTTTTTCCTGTCATGAATTACAATCATACTGAATATTAAATACAATGTACAATTAATACAAAGAAATTTTCGAAGTGGGAGAAATGATTTCAAACAAATACATGCAAAACAAAAGTCATACACATGTCAAAAGATTCATACCACTCTCCTTCTAATAGCAGTTAATCGAATCTTTCAGTTTTGTCAATTGAGGAACCAAAATAGACCACTACTTTACTGTGGTCTAGTTTGTCAGTTTTGAGTAGATGAGCGATTGACATGATGTTTTAATAGATTTTATAAAAACTTGTAAAATTTTGTATATGGTATAAAAGAGGAAGACTAATATTAAAAATTATGAAAAATATATTATAAAAATGATTATGAAAGATTTTTTATCTTTGAATTACACATTCAATAAAATATAACACACTAATTAAATGATAAAAAATTTTCATGATATATTTTATGATTTTTTATTTTTATTTTTATTTTTATGATCCCTGATATTAATCAAGAAAGAAAAATGGTAAAAGTTCTCTATAACTGCCTTCCTTCTTATCCTTTATTACAAAATGCCTCACATATCTTTTAATACTCAATGAATTAGAATTATAGAAATTTTTAAATATAATATTTCTCTAATTCAGTTTGTATCAGTGTATAATTTTTAAAATCAAAATAGACCATACATTATGAAAAGGGAAAATCGGTCTAGGGTCCCTCTTCCACTTTTCGTAATGGAAGAGATCCACAAAATTATTTTTTGATGTCTAAGGTCCCTAAACATATATCAGATGAAAGTTTCACTGGCTCATCTCTTTCCACTCACTGAAAGACCTCTCGATCGTCTTCAACACTGGACAATTCGATTTACACAAACTCAATTTGACCGATTCAATGATCGGAAACTCCGAAACCAAACTTCAATTAGAAACCCTAGGTTTGTCCGGGATTCAACACTGCGATTACGGCCTCAGTTGGCTCTGGAGGAGTTGTAAACAGCTCAAGAAACTCCAATTGCGAAGCTGCTATGCAATCGGCGATGAATCATCACTCTCATCGTTCGTCGAATGCTTAATTGGTCTCCAAGAAGTGGAATTGTGGACATGTAGGGCGATAATCAACGAGGTTCCTCTTCCTCCTCCTCTTTCATACACTTTCTCATTCTAGGGTTTCAAGTTCTTGAACCCCTTCAATTTCATTTTAATTCATCATCCCCTGTTTTCCCTACTATTCCGTCAAGCTTTTACAGTCTATTTCATACACTTTCCTTACTCTTCTGTCCCTAATGCTTTAGATTTGCACCTTACAATGAACAAGTGTGATGATCAATCTGGGAAGCAAGATGCAAAAGAACAAGAAATGGAAGAGGAATTTCTCTGTGATGTCCAGAGAAAATTCGACCAGAGAAATTCTCTGTGAAATGTGAAGTTCAGAGAAAATTGGACCAGAGAAAATCTCTGTAAACTAGAATTTCTCTGTGAAGTCCAGAGAAAATTCGACCAGAGAAATTCTCTGTGAAATGTGAAGTTCAGAGAAAATTGGACCAGAGAAAATCTCTGTAAACTAGAATTTCTCTGTGAAGTCCAGAGAAAATTCGACCAGAGAAATTCTCTGTGAAATGTGAAGTTCAGAGAAAATTGGACCAGAGAAAATCTCTGTAAACTAGAATTTCTCTGTGAAGTCCAGAGAAAATTCGTCTAGAGTCTCTAGATCGAATTTTCTCTGACTAGTTGAGTCTAACTGATTCAATTTCCCCTTCATATCTTATGTATTATTTGATTATGGAAGTGGCATAGGGTTAGCGAATTCGCACAAATCGTCCGACCTGATCCTACCCTTCCCTCCCGTCCCCTCATGTTTTTTGAACGATTTCGAGGGTTGCGTAGAGATAGGTGTGGGTTTAGTTTTAGCATAGTTTGGATCACGAGTTTTACACAACTCACCTGCAAATTGCCCACATTTCATATATATATATATATATATATGTTTTTAAATCTCTACCGTCGCATGTTATTCATTACCTTACTTTATATTTTTTTCTTGTAAACCTAAAATTGGAGCTTTACAAACTTTTTTTTTTCTTTTTTGTTTTATTTTATTTCTTTTGAGTTTTGGTTGAATTTTATGAAAAAGTTATTTTAGTTTTAGTAATTATTATTATTATTATTATTATTATTACATTTTGAATGAATGTAAAATTAATGGAAAACTAGTTTCTATTAAGTTTAGCATTTTGGATGGCTTTTACCTATGTTGGGTTGACATATTAAGGGTTTCCTAACTTTTGAAGGATAGGTTTTTAATGCTTTAGTTGAAGCCTTTAATTGCTAATGTTTTGTTAATTATATATTGATGTTTTGAACTATTAGTTTTACATATTTTGGCCTATTAAAATTAATTAAATAGTAGTAAACAAGCCCAAAAAAAAAAAGCCCAAAAACATAAGCCCAACAAGACAATCACATGAAAAAAACTAAAGTTCAATCCGTTTAATTGATTTGCACCCACCCACAAAACCGATTAACTCGCTTGCATAAATCGCAACCTGCAATTTAGGCGGATGTTGGTCAAAATAGACCATACATTATGAAAAATAGATCAAAAATCAAAATTTCAATTAATCTTAATTCGATTTTATTAGTTGTTCTTACATTCTTGAAATAGTTTTAACTAATGGGCTAACCCCTTGGTGGTTCTGACTAATGGGTTAACCATATGGTTGAACACCTTATGCATTTTGACTGAGGAAAAGATCACATTCTAATTAACAAAAGCAATTGAATGAGGAAAAGATCATTTAACAAAAGTAAAGTTAAAGTAAAGGAAGAAAACTTCTAATTTATTTATAAAAAAGAAAAAGACGAGACTAGATCCAAAAAAAGAAAAAGAGAAGACTAGATCCAAAAAATGAGGAGGTAAGTGACTTTCTTGGAATCCTAATATAATTTACCTCCAGAAAAACATGAAATACAGGAGATGGGTCACTCTTGTGCCCACAACATAGTATTGACTGTTATGCTGTTTGTGGGGTTTGTTTTGTATCCTATTTTAGTAATTTGAATCGTTTAATTTTCAGAAGATATCAAGTCGAATGTACCTGTAAAAAATAAAATTAATTAGATATCAATAGCACCTTAATCACTATGTATTCATATGTGTTGACATTCATACATATAATCAATAGTGTCTTAAAACCAACTTTAGTTTGAAGCATCATGCAAAAGATTTTCCCATATTGTATGATTTAGCGGAAAATATTTTTAAAAAAAAAATCGTTTTGTATTTTTTTAATATTTGGTATAATGAAAAATAAAAATTAATAAAAAATATTTTTCATGATCAAACCAAAATAAACCTATTTAGGTGAAAAATAGTTTACACTTTTAAAAGGTATAAAACGTTTTCCAAACTAAAATTTATCAATGTCATACCATTATCACCACGCTATAGCCACAATCACCATTGCCATCACTGCCCCCACCACCACGCCACCACCTCCATCTTCATCCCACTACCACTCCCACCACCACCACCACCACCAAACATATAGAAAGATTTTTGTATAGAAAATATTTTCCATTAAAAAATGTGGAGAGTAAATTGGAATCAAATTGTATAAAACTTTGACGCTTGTAAATACAATGGTTTCAATATTTTGTAGGGAGCCTATATGTAAATCTTCAATTGAAATCAAGTACACATGGGTTTGTTCAGTGCAGTTTATTACTATCTGAAAGTTTATAATCATAAGTAGAAGTCAAAAACACCCCTTCCATAATTTCTAAATAATCAAATTTAGTGAGGCTCCTAAATTAAAATAAGTTATAAACAATTCATTTGATGCATCTCTAACCCACTAGGCATATGATGCTTGTTAGTCAAAATGCCTAATATGACTCACTTTTTTCAACTCCAATGCACTAGGCATATGCTTAGGCATTTTGGCTCAGCTCACATTCACTAGCTACATGTAGCTAGCCTTCAAGGCTAGGCAAAATGTATTTAATCATTAAGATTATTTCCCTCCATCTTTGTTGCTGACGTGGCATTCTATAAAGTTAATAGTATTTGGATGAATAGCTAAAATAAAGAGCATGGTTGGGGTAGAAACATGAAATTGTTGACAGGCAAAATAAAATGTATACTTTATAGTAATATTTAGATAGGTAAAATGCCTACTACCATTGGAGAGGCTCCTAAATTAAATAGTCCCAACATGTTGCTATCTCATTTGATGCAACTTTTCATAAGTTAAAAATTAACAATTAAAATATAGAAACAATTTTATTTATCTATATATATATAGAAACAATTAATAATAAAAAATATTGCACATGTAATCCCTGTAGTTTATTTTTGTGTCAATTTAGTCCTTCTAGTTTTAATTTTATGAATTTTACTCTTAATTTTTCACATTTTGTCAATTTCAAAGTCATTGAGAATTTGTCATTTAATTTGAATAGTCCATTTCCTTTTGAATACATAATTTTGCTCCTACCTTCTGTCTAATTTTTTAATTGATGTTATTAATTGGACTAACTTAATACAATGTAAAAAATTAAAGAGTAAAACTGATACAATTAAAACTATATGGACCAAATTAACATAAAAAAAATAAATATACACCAATTTTCATAATCAATTCTTTCAGCTTATTAAAGATGTTATTGTCTCATAATTTGTATACACAAACTGCATCAAACACTGACGTAAAATAAAGAAACAAAACAAAAACAAAAACAAAAACAAAAAACATAGACAATCCCAATAAAAGGCACCAAAAGGGGCCGCTAGAATTTTCCAGCCAATAATATTAGATAAAAGCTAGGTAAAATTCAAGGACATTGATAGAGGAGGGGACAACCTTGATCTCAGTTTTTGTCTCATATGCTATATGTATAGGTTATATATATATATATACATATATTCCTCTTGCTTAGAGGACCAAGGACATGCTGGACCCCCACATCTTGAGAAGTTAGAACAGATATTCTCCAAAAGTAGAATGCTCAAACTTAAAAAGTAGAAAAAAGTGGTGAGTGGTCACAAGATTTTTGGCGGGTCTTTCTTTTGAAAACAACCCCAAATAGTTCGCAAGAACAGCCTAACTGTGACTCAACTGCTTCAAATATCACCATCTTCTGTCATAGCTTCCAACCTTCAAAATCAAACAATTCACACAGAGAGGGAGAGAGAGAGAGAGAGATCATTTTCCAGTAGACAATGATGAAGTGGGGAAGAGGGAAACCTTCTTCGCCTTCGCCCTCTCGTGATTCTTCCATTTCTCATCATGTCTTTCCAATGTCCTGGCTTTCTAAGTTCAAGCAAAAGGGCAACAATTCAGAGCCCAAACCCACTAAGGCAAAACCAAATTTGGCGTGTCAGAGTATGCCAACACCTACTAGTTTGAAAGATGGTCGATTCTATGGCGGTGATGATGATGATTTTTACTGGAGGCTTTCATTTGGAGAGGACAGAGTTGAAGGAGAGAAGAGCAAATGGGGTTCGCAATCAGATCGGTATCACTCAGACAACGAGATGGCAGCCGTATCAGATACAAGAAAGTCAAGAGAATTGACTCGAAATGTTTTGCCAGAAATTGTTACATGTAATGAAGTAGAAAAGGAAAGAGGGAGTGAAGAATTTGAAGTGGTAAGGAGAAAAGCTGTGAAAGACCAGAAACTGAGAAAAACCAAGTTTGAAGCTTTGAACTTGAAGCAAATTGATGGATTATCTGAAACAAAACTAAGTTCAGAGTTGCAACAATTGACGGAGATGAACATCAAACGACTAATGTCAATGAGTGAGAAACAGAGGAAATCTGTTTACATAAGCAGGAAATTGCAGAGAAGAACCAAAAAAAGCGGTAGAGTCAGAGTTTATTCACCTCGAATGGTTGCCAAGATTGAATGCAAAGTCAAAGCTCTTGAAGACATGAAGAAAGCAAAAATGAAGATGAAGAAGATGACAAAGGAGAAAGCAGTTCAACAGAGAACGGCCTTTGACAGCTTCGCTGTGGTAAAAAGCTCGTTTGATCCTCAGAAGGACTTCAGAAATTCAATGATTGAGATGATCACTGCAAAAGGGATCTGGAGACCAGAAGAGCTTGAGGAACTCCTGGCTTGTTATCTAACATTGAATACTGATAAATACCATGATCTTATAATCAAGGTCTTCAAGCAGGTATGGGTCGATCTCAACCTGAAGCATTTTGGATCTGAGCGACAGAATGAGCACCATTTCTCTATGATAAACCACTTTTTATCATGAACACCCAAAAAAAAAAAAAAAAAAAAGAAAAAGAAAAAGAAGGAAGTTACTTGTAAGATCAATGCTATTTACATGAAGTTGTACTTTCAGTTTTTTTTATGGTATAAAATAACTATATAAATATTGATTTGAGTCCTAGGAAGTGTGTAGAAACAACATAAAAAAAAATGATAAAAAACAAAGATTGTAAATGAAGTATATGACATGAATCCACTTGCTTTCCTGGAGAAGTTTTTAGAAAGCCAATTTCAAAATTCCAAGGACAAGTGTTTCATTAAAATCATGTGTTTTCGTGCTACATTTTCACCATCATTATCTAAGGTAGGCCATCACAAAATATGCACCGAGGAATGAGCGATTTTCAGATGAAGGTGTATGAAGCTAATAATGTTTTGAGAATGGACCGGTGGAAGAAGGGGACACATAAAAAGAAAAGGAAAAAACAGAGTAGCAGTTCTGTTGGAAGTAGAATTTAAAGAATATCGTTTATGAATGAATGGTTCCCCCAGTAAAGTTAAACGGAACTTTACTGTTTGGAAGATGCATAATTTGGGCAAGTTAAAGGAATGATTAAATTACCAAAAATCTACAAGTAAAAAATAAATGGAAGACCACAAAATGTAACAAAGTTCCATGTCAAATTTCAGTGCACCAAATAATATGTTGAAACATCAAATACTTACAATACATGCAACCCTCTTTATAAACAAGCAGACATGATCCAAGGTTTTTAGATTTCAATGTTGCCAATTGCAGTTAATCTGACCTTAATACCTATGAACAAGATTCATATTTGTCTCTACTCACAATGTCAGAACTTTTTCTTCCCAAAATGTAGCTGGATGTTCTTATGAGTGCTCTATTCCACTGTCCACATTGCCTTCACTAGGCCTTGATCCAACTGGCATGGCCGCCAAGAACTGGGAGAAGCACAGTCGGCCTCTCATTGCTTCCAAGAAATATAGTCCCAATACCCATTTGAGAAGTCTTAAATGTCTCAGCTCTCAATGATTCAACATTAGTTTGAAAAAGTCCATGAACACGTTTAGCATTAAAGGTTGTACTCAATTAAAATTGCAAGTTCAGTAATCAATAATCAAACTATAAGTTCTATCGACCATTAGAAGGAAAATTTTATTAGGAAAAAGTGAATGAATCACCAATGAAAATCATATAAGAAACAAAGTTTAGGACTTTATAATTCTACGACATTAAGAAAGTTGAGAAATACTTAAAAATAAGGATCCTAATGTCATAGAGAATATAATAGTGCTCCTGTAAAAGTTACAAAGTTGGTATATAAAGAATAATAATAATAATAACAATAATAATAATAATAATAATAATAATAATAATAATAATAATAATAATAATAATAATTAAAGTGCGGGCGGTTTTTGCGGGTTGCGGGTTTAAACCGCGACCCGCCCGCAACCCGCAAATTTGTCATATTTCAAACCGCATCCGCCCGCATTATGTTTGCGAAACCGCCCATTTATATGTGGTTTGGGCGGATTGGGCGGTTTGAACGGTTCGGATAAACCGTTGCCCACCCCTAACAGAAAGTTTGGTCCTTTGATTGGTTTCTGTGCAAGTAGAAGAACTGAATAGGTTTATGATGTAAATTGATTTTATCCACCTTTCTATAAATCAAGCCTATTTAGGAATGCATTCCTTCCCCAGCTAAGAACTCGTGAACAATCCCATCCACCTCAATCATGCTACAACCAGGCTCTTTCCTTATTCCTTGTGCCCTCATTTTTTTTCTTGCCTCCATAACGTCATTCCATCTTCCCATCGATGCATGAACATTTGACAACTGAACATAAGCGGAACTGTCTTGAGGATCCAATTCTAAGAGCTTCCTCGCTATCCGCTCTGCCATTTCAACATTACCATGATTTCTACAGGCACCCAAAAGAGTCTCCCAAACCACGGGAGCTTCTTTTATTGGCATCGTTCTCATGAGCTCCTCAGCCTCTTTTAATAATCCAAAACGACCAAGTAAGTCTACCATACAACCATAGTGCTCGATGGTTGGTTGAATTCCATGAACAGAAACCATGAGATCAAACATTTTACGTCCCTCTTTTAACAGACCAGCTCGACTGCAAGCTGATAGAACACTCACAAAGGTAACCTCGTTGGGCTCAAAACCGTCCACTAGCATTTCAGAGAAAATCTGTAATGCATGTTCTCCAATGCCATGGATGCTTAGTCCTGCAATTATTGAATTCCATGTACTGATATCCTTCCTCGAAGTATTATGGAAGACTTCTAAAGCTTTCTCAATACACCCACATTTTGAATACATGTCCACAAGAGCAGTAGCTAGGAAACCATCAACATCAATTTCATTCTTATCAACATAGGCATGAACCCATTTGCCTTGGCTCAAAGCTCCAACACGGCCACAGGCAGATAACACATTGACGAGCGTGAAATTATCTGGCTTAATGTTTGCATTTTGCATTTTTTCAAAAAGCGTCAAAACGTCTCCAAAACAATTAGCATGAGCATAACCGGTGATCATTGCATTCCACGAAACAACATTTTTCATTGGCATCTCATCAAAAACACTCCTAGCTTCTTGAACTGACCCAACACTCACATACCCCGAAATCATAAAATTCCAAGACTCCACATTTCTCTCCAGCATTTCGTCAAACAACCCACGTGCCAAATCCACCAAACCCATCTCCACGTACGCACTCAAAATTGCATTCCACGATATAACATCCCTCTCAGGCATTCTATCGAGCAACCCACGAGCAATTTTAAAGTAGCCACAATTCGCATACATATGAATCAAAGTATTAGTCACAAACACATCCGACCCAATTCCAACCTTGATCAGATGACAATGAACCTGTTTCCCTTCTTCCAACCCACGAAGACTCGCACAAGCCTTGACAACAAAAGTGAAAGTGTAATTATCAGGGACAACGACATGGTCGTTCAGCATTTGGTGGTAGAGAACGAGTGCGAATTCAGGGGTGGGACTGTTGGCATAGGCACGAATCATAGTGTTGTAGATATATGAGTTGGGATTTGGGATACGAGTGAAGATGGAGTGAGCATAAGAGAGAGAGTTGGTGGTGGTGGCGGCGGTGGCGATGAGGCGGCTGGCGGCGAAGGGGTGATGGAAGAGGGCGGTTTTGAGGATGTGGGCATGGGCTTGGCGGAGTTCGGAGATGGAAGTGGACATCTCTGTGAAGGAGAGAATTGGTGGTGGTGGGTGAGGAAAGTACGCAGACATTTTGTGGGGTTGAATTGAAGAGCAAGTTGTGTTGGGTCTTTGTTTTGTGAGATGGGTTAGTCGATAGGTTCGCTTCAGCTTAGAAATTCATGGTTGGTTTCCCACCAACATCTCAAGTTTAATATATAAAATCGTATGCGATTTTGAACTTATCAAAAAATTAAATTTATCATTTATTTCATATAAATTTATGTATACGTGTATATATATAAGAAATTTGATTATAAATTCTTTTTATAAACATCTCTTTTAATTTAGAGCAAATGATTAAGAAGTCTTCTTTCAAAAAAGTGTAGCCTATTTAGTCCCAAGACCTTTTGTTTATACCCAAAAGTCCTGTAACATTTTTCTTTTTCTCTGCTTTTGTACTTATTTGTCTCTTTCTCTTTTTGATTTTCAGCGATTGTCAACGGGCAATCACGTCTTACTTTTTCTCTTTCTCTTTCTTTTTTTGATATATAGTCACCGACGACAAACGATTACCATTGATTGAGGTTCACCAGAAACCATCGATCACTGACTCCTTATTTCACTCTAACCGACGGTAAAGAAGATATGCTTCCAATGAAGAAGATGAATAGATCTACTCAGATCTGATGTAGATCTGCATCAGTTATGAGTAAGTAAATCTATATTAGATCCGGCTAGATCTAAACAAAAAATAGTTGCTGGAGTACAATTCTCTCTCTATATCTGTCTTTCGCTTTCAATCTATTAATTTTTCTACATTTTCTCTACTATATGCTTCTCTTTTTCCTGTTTTAATAGAGAAAATTTTCAAGTTCTAAATAAGTTGATTTTGAGTTTTAGTTGCAGGTGGTGAAAACTGTAAAATTTTACAGTTTCAATTTTTTTTTTGTACTAAAATGAATCATGGTTTGAAACTGCGAAATTTTACAGTTTCATAACATTCTTTAGAACTGTAAAATTTTACAGTTTCATAACATGTTTTTCAATTTGATTAATAGGGATAAATGTGTAATAGATTTTTGCTTTGAAACTGTAACATTTTATAGTTTCAAAGCTTGCTTTTCAGTTTGATTAATATTGGAGATTATTTACTTAAACCCTACAAAAATTGAAAAATAACATATATATATATATATATATTTTCCATTCTTGCTCTTTTTTGTTGTTACAGCTTTTATCTTTTAGTTTATCAATATTTAGCACATATTTATAAATTTTTTCACTTTGATTTCTCTATTTATTTATTTTTTCGACAATATTCTGGACATTTTGATGAGTCTCGAACGATGTTATTAACGTCCAGCAAACGTTTTGGACATTCCAGTGACTTCTATTGATGTTCAGAACACTCCGGTGAACTTCCGGTGACTTCCGGTATTGTTGAACATTCTGGCGAGTCTCCAGTGATCGTCTGATAAAAGTCCGATGGTAGTATGATGTCGCAGCGTTTGTAAATTTTTTTTTTTTTTTTTAAAAGGATATTTTAGCAACAATTAAAAATATATAAGACTAATTAGTACAAATATTTTATTTTATAATTAGATAAATTTTAAATTTTGAATAATGCTTGGGACCCCCTTTTGGGGGTCACCCCTCACCCCCTTGCCACGTGGCAGGGGGTGATTGGTGGAGCAGGAAAAAAAAAAGAAAAAAAAGAAAAGATAACCAATGAAAAAAAGAGGGAGTTAAAAGGAGTGAGGAAAAAAGGGGATGAATCATTACTCTTAAATTTTATATATAGAACTTATTGGTAAGCTCCCCTTTAATTTATGACAATATAAACGTTGTTTAGTCCATAAATCCAATTTTAAACTTTTTCCATCCACGCTTTAAATTATTGTCTATAAGAATAGGTTTCTACCAAAATACCAAACTGTCCATTCTACATCCATACGCGTGTCTTTGTCTGTACATATTCAACATATTGTACGTTGAAATCTCATTTCAACCAAGCACTCTCTCTTTCTCTTTCCTAATTATCATCTCTCTCTCTCTCTCTCTCTCTCTCTTCATCTTCTCTTCTCCCTCCTCATGCATCTAACTCTAGATCTCTCTCTTTATCTTCTCTTCTCCCTTCTCATGCACCAAACCCTAGATCTCTCCCCCCTACACCATTATCAAACCCTAGATCATCACTGTGGGAGGAGCAAGCAACACCATCGTCGAGCAACCAGCAGTACAATGACCACTCATATGCCGTCCTCCAGTGATGCACGGAAGACCACTAGTTTTTCAACTCCAATCGCGTCTCATTCGCCGAATCCATCTACCATCACCACCACCTCACAGCGGAGACCTCTTCCCAGTGGATCAAAAATTTACCTAAAAATAAATTTAAAGGAAGAATATTATATGCCACCCAAATTATTTCAAAATAAATTCATGACCGCTGATGCTAAATTTCTCAATCACCAATACTTTGATCATCTGATATTTCTTCATGAATCTCTAAAAATAACATATCAAAATTTTAAGACATAAGATATATAAAACCTAACAAAATTTACTACTCTCATCTTTTATAAAATAACAAACTCTCATTTTAACTACACCCAAACTAAATACAACGTTTTTGGGAAGAAAAAAAATAGCTTAATTTAGGTTAAAATTCACAAAAAGATAAAATAGGCGAAAATAGTTAATAAGACAAAATATCACATCAAATCCATAATCATTTCACTTTTTCTCTCACAAACATCACATCCAATTACAAAAAAATCAAATCATCTTTTCAAATATAAAAATTTTAACCTACTAAAATAGTCAAAAATTAAAATAACCTACTAAAATAACCACTTCCCCAACGAGGCCTTTGTGACAAAGAAATTTATGAGAGAGATAGAGTGTGGCGAAGGGATGATTGAGGATGAAAGGAAGAAAATGATTTGGCTCAATTCATAGGGTAGTAGAACTGGGGCCAAAAAAAAAAGAAAAAAACTTATTGAGGAGAAATGAAAAGAAAAAGAGAGGACAAGGAAATGACAAATGAGATAGAGGTATAGCTTTGGCAAACTACCCCACGTGGGTTACTGCCTTAACATTTTTTTTTTTTTTTTTGGGTTAATATGGAAGGAAAGAATAGGAAATAAGTTATTTTAACCCAAAGAGTTGTGGCATTGTGGTAAGACTTTGGGGTTTAACCTTTAAGGTTATAAGTTTAATTTTTCTTTTGGACCAATCTTTTGGGCGAAACACTGTTGGTTAGGAAGTTGGACCTCAAGGATGCCTAATCAGCTACTTGGTTACTTAATCGAAACTTGCCTTGGGAGGTCAGGACAAGCTTCCAGGTTATAGTCTCTTACTCAAAACGGATAACAGGACACCCTGGTGATCTCCTCATGGGCCTGCTTGGACCTGCGAGAGGGTGGAAGGATTTTCATGTAATAAAAAAAAAAAAAAAGGAAATACGAAAAATATTCACTAGTTTGGTTACCACTTTTTAAAAAAAATTAAAAATATTTACTTCATTAATGTATTTTTGTTTTTACTGAATTTTTTAAATATTTGATAATTTTTTAATTTTTAGACATACCTAACATAAATATACGCTAAAAAGTAAAAAAAATTGAAAAAACCTTTTAAAAATTCACTAAATACCAAAAATATAAAAAAAAAAATATGAGAATTCAATATATTTTTTTATATTTTATGCTATTTATTAATTTTTAAAAATATTTTTTTATAATTTTTTTACTTTTTAGATACATCTAAGTAAGGTGCATCTAAAAAAGTAAAAAAAATGTTTAAAAATTTAAAAATATTCACTAAAAACAAAAAAACACGAAAACCAAAAAACTCAGTTTTCAAAAAACTTAATTCAAAAAACTCAAACCAAATACAGTGATTAATAATGATGATGTGAAGATAAAAAAATAAAATAAAATAAATATAAAAGAATAAGTTAAATTCTTATTTAAAAATTTCACTATTAAATTATTATCTAAAATAAAATAAAACTAAAACAGAAACACCTCTCATAAAAATATTAATACATCAAATATGCAAGATTTCACATTTTTCATTTTTCATTTTGTTGCTATTAACCTTTATTCAAATTGCTCATAATGATATCTTCTATGATTGCACTAAGCATATTGAGATTTATTGTCATTTTATACGGCAGCATGTTATTAGTGGCATTGTTCATTTTATCTTTGTTATTTCTGCCGATTAAACAACCAACATCTTCACCAAGGCTCATCCTCCAGGACGCTTTTCTACCTTACTTTCTAAGCTCAAGTTGATATCTACATTGCCACCTTGAGCTTGAGGAGGGTGTTAGCTGTATATATTTATATTACCATATTGTGCATTACTATATTGTGTATTACCATAGATAGAATTTCTATATGTAACTTTTTCTTCTCCTATGCAAAGGAAATGAGCCTTTTTTTCACTGAATAGAATACAAAGTTTTCTCTTTTTCTCTCTTTCTCTCTCTTTAATATTATAACATGATCCTTATTTCAAGTCTCTTAAATACTCCTCTTGAAAAATACCTGTAATTAGTTTTTTGTGCTCCTCGGAAGGGTTTAGTCTCCTCGGATGCGATTCCCTATAGTTCAAACTCCTGTGGTTTTGAAGCTAATTTCACGAGTGCAATGTGAAACAAAAGAAAATGAGAGTCCAAATCTGAAAAATCCTAGAAAAATCCACTAATCGCAAGAGATGCCAAAAATGGACTGCATTGCCAGATTTTAGAGTCACTACCTTATATTTTTTAGAGAATTAGGAAACACGTGACTCGTGCCAAAGGCCACTTATTCATCATAACCAAGGTTATCTCGGTTCGAGAACTTAGGAATGAGAAGGGAAGGTCATGAATTGAGCACCTCATTCACCCGATCAAAGATCGGCCTTTACTAAGTCATGATGTGAGTTTTATTAACATTTATGCTCATGGTCTGATTATTAATATGGTAACATTACTATGTGAGGCAAATAAGTATAGACCGTGTCACTTACTTTGGAATGCTTTGGTTTCATGCTTTTTAAAGAGTTTTTCGAATATGTGCAACTCAAAGGAAAAATGAGCTCATATGTACAACAATTGAAGTCATTCCAACTTAAGCAAAATAGCCTCCATCCACAGGTATTCATAGAGATATTTCAAGTAAGCAAGTAGCCTCATTGCTAAAGCAAAAACACTCACCTAGTACTCAACC